CAGGACGCGGATGATATACATCGACTTACCCAGGACGCGGATGCAGTTCATCGTAATACCCAGGACGCGGATGCTATTCATCGTCTTACCCAGGACGCGGATGCAGTTCATCGTCATACCCAGGACGCGGATGATATTCATCGTCTTACCGAGGACGCGGATGCAGTTCATCGTCATACCTAGGACGCGGATGCTATTCATCGTCTTACCCAGGACGCGGATGATATACATCGTCTTACCCAGGACGCGGATGCAGTTCATCATCATGCCCAGGACGCGGATGCTATTCATCGTTAAACCCCGGACGCGGATGTTGTTCATCGTCTTACCCAGGACGCAGATGCTGCTCATCGTCATACGCAGGACGCGGATGCAGCTCATCGCCATAACCAGGACGTAGCTATTCATCGTCTTACCCAGGACGCGGATGCAGTTCATTGTCATACCCAGGACGCGGATGCAGTTTATCGTCATACCCAGGACGCGAATGCTATTCATCGTTTTCCGCAGGACGCAGATGCTATTCATCGTCTTACCCAGGACGCGGATGCAGTTCATCGTCATACCCAGGACGCGAATGCAGCTCATCGCTATAACTTAGGACGTGTAAGCTCTTTATCGTCTTCCCCAGGACGTGGATGCAGTTCATCGTCTTACCCAGGATGCGGATGCAGTTCATCGTCATACCCAGGATGCGAATGTATTTTGTCGTCATATCCAGGACGCGGATGCTATTCATCGTCTTCCCCAGGACGCGGATGCAGTTCATCGTCTTACCCAGGACGCGGATGCAGTTCATCGTCATACTGGAGCTAAAGTTTGGATTTGCGGGGGTGGGTATCGGAAGGTAAATTCAAATTCTAGTTACCTTCATTTTTGCGCAATTATATTCATCTCCCATTATCCATAACACCACCCGCGCATCCCACTGGTATTCCCCAGCGTTCACCCATCTTGGCACTGACCAGGTTGGACGTTGCTTAACTTCGGTGATCGTACGGAAACCGGTGTTTCAACTTGATGTGGCCGTAAACCAAGGCGCTTTCACTGATTTGTTTTTCCGGCTTATCAACCCTTTGCAGGTCATTTAATACCAGAAAATAGTTTTAGATTGTAAGAATTCTTTTTTTTTTTTGGAGATTATAGTGTGGTAATACATGTCTTACTAATTAACCCATAGCTAGGGGAGAAGAAGTGGATTCATACCTTTCTGTGGCACCATGCATCCAGGCAGAGAAAGAAAGGCAAAAAGGGAAAAGGAAAGAAAAGAAGAAAGGAAGGGAAAAAGTAATGCGAGACGGATCATAGGTGATAAGCGAACACACACACACGGCTTAAGAGGCAATAAAAAAAGGGGTTATTTTGGATAAGTGGCATTACAATGACAATGAGATTGAGTGGGTAGGGAAGTGTTATCTAAGGGTATGAAAACAAACTATTGGTACGAGAAGGCATCTTATTATCAAAACACAGGCCACCGGCCAAGGGAAAAATTCAAGCGAAAATGTTATTTCGATAGGTGACGACAAGAAACAGGCGACTAAAAAAGACTTTTGGACAGATATGAAAATTAAAGGCCACCTGCGAGCAATCATTGACCGATTTTCCTACTTGGCCTGCGCGAATGGAATTGTGTTATCAAGAAATGTTCGCCAAAGAAAGTCCACTTGAAAACGTTAGATTTTGATAATTGACAAAACACAGGTGTAGGTACGGAGCCTTAGCTAGATATGGAAAATTAAAATCCCACACAAGCAGTCTCGCTAAAACAAACTTTTGCCCTGCGATAATAAAATTTTGTTATCAGACACATGAACCGAAGGAAAATGAATGGAATAAGAAATGTTTTTATTTCTTCCTTGGAGACGTCAGACCGACTGAAAACTTGGAGAAAATTCTTTTCTGAGGCCATGTCATCTGATGAATTGGCGATAAACTGCTTGACAAACGCCACGTGTTGAACAAAGAGTTGTCCGTTCATGATAACGGCGATTTGAAAGGAAGAAAAAGAGGAAAGAGGAGAGATTTTTTAGTTAAGCAAGGTATTTTTTTTCCGAAACAAAGCCGCGGGTTGTTCACGCCCGACTAAGACGTCATTGGTCAAGTGGTGATCACATGACGCACGAAGGAGGAGGAAAGATACCCGACCAAGACCTCATTGGTCGAGAGTGATCACGTGACGCACGAAGAAGGCTGTTGACGCCCCCATCCAGAGTATAAGTATGAGAAGCCGCTACGAAGAAGTGGGGAGGGCAGTTCACGCCCTCAAAGCATGGTGAGGAAGTGGGAGTGAAAAAAAGTTACCAAAAATGGAAAAAGATTGGAAAATCCCTAACCAGAAATAAAAAGAGGGGATATGTATTTAGAACTATCGAGGAACTCCCCCGACGCCAACAGACCCAACCCGGTTTTTGTCGGCGGCAATAAAAGCCAGGCCCCAACAGGCAGAAATCAGTTCGCGCCCTGACGGCAGAGCTGAGTGCCCAGTAGTTCGCGCCCTGACGGCAGAGATGAGTGCCCAGTAGTTTGAGCCCTGACGGCAGAGAGGAGTGTCCAGAAAGTTCGAGCCCTGACGGCAGAGGTGAGTGTCCAGTAGTTCGGGCCCTGGCGGCAGAGATGATAGATCAAGATAGCTGACCAAGATTCACGCAAAATTTTGGACTCCTCTTCAACCAAGAACAATTATTTTGAAGAGCGACTTAGGACCAGACCACCGAAATAAGTTTTTCGACTTTCGTCCAGAGACACACCAAAACACAAATTTCTTAGAGCAAACAACTTGAAGCGTTAAAACTTGCCTAGCGAAAACGACGTGTCACAATCCACAGAACGGGTCAGGAGATAGATGCAGTCCTATGTATCGAACAACTAGACATAAAGTTTGTTACCTTTTCTTTGATACTTTGAACTTTTGAGTTTTCATTTTCTTTTCTTTTATGCATATTTTGTGTTATCACCCCCCGTTGAACTCAATTTGCATTACGGCTAACCCTGTTTGATCTCGTCTGTCTAAGATCAATTCACAACGCGGGTAGGCAGACTGGAGATCAGTGCAGTTACCTTGGTAACCAGGCGTTGGAAGCGAGTTGGGAACGGCGAGGCTGACATCAAATCTAACCAGATTCCCACCCGAATCACCAAAAGGTTAGAACGTCACATTTGGGTGCCGCGACCGATACCAAGCCAGTTGGTCGTCACAGGCGAGACAACACGACTGACGCGACAGGCGGACGTCACGTTTGGAGCAGCGACACCCGGACGGAGCAGCGAGAGCGAACAGCTGGCACTGCGGCGGACGTCACAATTGGTGCTGTTTAGGGACGTCACAACTGGTGTCGTGACCGGGATAGGACCCTGGAACGGCCACGTCACAACTGGCGCCGAGGTAGATCAGGATAGAACGTCACAGTTGTCGCTGCGACCGGGGGACGACGTCACATTTCCCAGGCGTATTTGCGTGTAAGGAAATTTAACGAACACAGCGTGAATTTCAATTCGGCTCTCCGATTCACAATTCCGAGCATTACATCACATACACATCCCCAAGCTTACCGCATCTGGTATTCCCCAGCTGTCAGCTATCTAGTTACTGACCAGGGTCGACGTTGCTTAACTTCGGTGATCGTACAGGAACCGCTGTTTCAACGTGATGCGGCCGTAAGCCAGATGAACAAGAATTTTGAGGTAGTAGATAATGGTGGTGCCGAGTATACCTTGGACGTAAACATGTGAGTTATTGAGTTTTAAGGAAGATGGGAACAGAAAGGACTCTTATACCCAGAGAGAGAAGACATAGATAGGGGTTCGGATTGACGAATCGGAGAGCCGAGTTCGAATTCCAGTTGAATCCATTACCTTCATGTTTTAGTAACCTTGGGAAAGGTATGAATCCTCTTTCTCTACCCCCAGCTAGCAGGACAGACTGGGTTCTATAGCCCTGGAGAAATGGCGACCTACTGCGGGAAAAAATCTGCCTCGTCAGTCATGTATCACGTATGGCACATAACTGACTGAATAAGGACAAAGGACTTGGGGAAGCAAGAGGGTTGGAGAATTTGACACTTACAAGAGGGTAACAGCGAGCAACCTAGATAACTAGCTTTTGGAAATGAATAGGCAAACACGGACTGGGATTGATAGAAAGAGGAAAAATAGAGCTACAAGGATGAGAAGTTGTGGAGAGTCACGATCATCTACATCCTGAACAGACACGGAAAATTATAAGAAAGTATCTTGATGACCAGGTTCGACGTCTTTTTCAACATTGGTCATAGACATAAATTAAATTCAGATCGAGGCTAACAGAAGGAAATATTTGAAGCTACAATGAAACATTACTCGAGTCGATAAGCAGAGTAATGAAGAAATTAGTCAAGTGGTCTATTTTCTGGCTTACGTTCCTTTTTCTTTCTTTCTTTTTTAAACGAAAGGTAAATATAGTTGTACGTTCGGGTTTGGTGATTTTCGGTAAATAAGAGTTGGTCTGCGGATGAGCAAGGCGGGCAGATGTTTTCCAGGTTGCAATATTTGGTCGAAAACAATCCTCGCGATCTCAATTATGGCGAGGACGATAAGAACAAGGACATGTGAGACGAATTTTGGACGATAATCCTCGGAAAGAAAAGACATCGAATTTAAAAAATGCCACGCTTCGAAATTCTCCGCAATTTAAAGAGAATTCAGCAGTCAGCTCATTGGTCAATTTACACAACTTCCTCTTGTCTCGAAGGACCTATCACGCATATTTCAAAATCAGTCCGCCAGGAAAAATAACCGATTCATTATCATTTCTTTCCCTCTTCGAGAAGACCAATTGGTGATTTACGTATATTTCTTATCGTCCGGTTCACACCCCTCCCCAGCTTCTTTTGAATAGAATTAGAGGTTTATTTTTTTGTTTCCGGTTTCCGGTTTAGGATTGGGTGTCCGGTTTCGTTCTGAACTCGATACTTCTGAACGTCTCCGCTTAACTCTGAAAGGCTTACAGCATACATCACGTTCACACTCCAGTTCCAGCACGATCACTGAAGTTAAGCAACGTCGGGCTTGATCAGTACCTAGATTGGTTACCGCTTGAGATTAGCAGGTGCTGTAAGCTTGGATGTGCATGTGATGTAATGAATAATGGCTGCAAATTAATCGCAGGGCCGAGTTCCAATTCCCGTTGTGTTACTTATATTCACATATACGCAAAAGCACTTCGGAAATATATATATATTCCGTATGTTCTTTATATATGCGAGCACTTTCGGTAATTCTTATTACCATCTTCAAGCATGGATGTTATGGAACATACGGAATATCTCTATCTATAAAAGGCAGGATGTGTGTGTGTGTGTGTGTAACGGATGTACGGCCGCAATTTTCGACGGATTTGCAACAAAATTTACATGCACATGCTCCAATTTAGCGGGAAGGCCAAAACCGACTTTGCATTACCCAACTCCCATCGATAGCGGAAATAATCCATTTTTTCATGCTTCTACGGCAGTTTTCATGTAGTTTGCGGCCAGTTTCTACTGGCCAGGTGAAAATCTATAGCTGGCTGTCACGAATAGGCAGGAAGATTCTATTGGCCAGCGTGAGGAGCCAACAGCTGACTGACACGAATGTTAACTAGCATGCTAGCATGCAAAAAAATCGATAGCATATTCCCCTCCAAGTGTGAAAAATTTAAATCTGCATGGCACTTTACTCCAATTGGCTCACGAAACAAAACTTAACGTTGATTCTGATTCCGCAGAACTGGGTTGGGTGTGAAAAAGTATTTGTTGTTAACATTCTTTTTTTTCATTCGGTTTTTTTCAGTTACGAGATCTTTTTAAAGCTGATCGTTATGTGTTCATTTTGTTTAGTTCTTTTTCGTAACAGATTTAATGTTTAGCATAGAGCTTAGAAAAATTCGCAGTGTGAGATAGGCAAAAAAGGTATGTAGCAATATCAGCACAAGTAGGCACTCCTTTAAAAACAAGGAAGGGCAAAAATATTTTAAGTCAAGTGATAGCAATTGCTGTATGAGTCGTACGATTTTTGATCAAGCACGGGCAACGCCAGGCCATGCTGCTAGTCTAATATATTTTACAATTTTTAAAAACAAATATTGTGTCATTCAACGAATGGTTAGTAAGTTAATGCTTTATTTATTATGTCAACGAAGTGAATTCACCATTAAATACATTAACTTTACTGATTTATTCTTTGTATGACTTTTTTAATATTAATTAAATTAATATATATATATATATATATATATATATATATATATATGTGTGTGTGTGTGTGTGTGTGTGTGTGTGTGCCATAGATTTGCATTGAGCAATGTTTTGTAAATAAAATAAAAAATAAAAATAATAAGGACACCGGATTATATATCATACTATTCTTTCTCTGAACATATATATATATATATATATATATATATATATATATATATATATATATATATTAAATGGTGCGAATTAATATATATATATATACTCTTACAGTGTGCTATATTTATGGGATAAAGTGCTCAATATCAGAGATAGAGGTGTGTAAAAATAACTTCAGAACATTGAAGTCAACACTTAGACGCGACAGTCTGTTTCATGCTAGACACCAAACGTGAAGCCACAGTGCTGTTTCTTTTCGTTCGGCTATTATATAATTGTTGGATATAATTTGCCGAAAAAAAAAACAGTACTCGTTTTTTTCTCGACAAACAGCGTCTGCATGAAACAGACTGTCGTCTGAGGTTTTGGTTCAATGTTCACTATATATATATATATATATATATATATATATATATATATATATATATATATATACAGGATATCAAAACGGTAAGGAAACATATCTTTTATGTTTTATAGAGTTTTCGATTTAACTTTACTATTGTTGCTTATATTTTTGGTATTGAGTTTTTTCTTTACCATATCCGCTCACCTTTAAACGCATTAATTTTATTCATTTCAGCGTTTTTGTTCGGCCTCATAGAATAACAGGAAAACATGGGATATATCTTTTCTGTGAATTCACGCACGAATAAACATTAGCCCGAAAATAAAAAGAATTTATATTTGCTAAAATTCACACCAAATTCTCTCAAACCGAGGTTCTTTCATTGCACGTCGTTGGGTTGACCTATGCGATCGCCCCAAATGTGGGGGACTCGGGTACACTATTTCAAAATGTGGGGTCTACGTCCGCGCTCACTCCTATAAACAAGCCAAAAATCAGATTTTTTAATATTTTTTTCAAATTGTAAATAATTCCTTACAAGTACCTCGAATATCATCGAGAAATTACGAAATGTGAATAAGTCTCTGATTTTTTATTATGTTTCATTTTGAATGTTGGAGATGTTGCGAGCAATCTAAACAAATTTTGATTTAAAATTTATAATTTCAAAATAGTGTCAAAAATTATAATAACAAAACAAACTTTGATTCAAAATTTATAATTTCTTAGGGTGAATTAATATTAAACTTTACATCATTTGGAGTGAGTTAACAGAAAAGCTTATATATATATATATATAAAGACATAATTTTATGTTTATACGTTCTTTTTATAGATACAAGAATTTAAGTAAATGCTCTGTTTATAATAAACAGTATTAAATAACATTTACCGGCCCGAATGTCCGAGAAATTTTCATAGAAAATATGCCTCCTCCGGTAAGAATTGAACCTGTATATTATACGGAACCGATATATAGCCTGACGTGCCTTAACCGATTGGGCCACAGAGGAGCGTTCGGTTAGCAAGATCGATTTTATTGCTTTTTAAACACAATTCTCCATGATTTTTTCTCATTCATTCCTATCTGCTCGATGCGTATCCAAATGTAAACAAATGACATCATACATTATGAAATGGACAAAGCCCGACAATTATTTTAAGACATTATACGTTCTATTTTTAGATACAAATATTTAAGTAAATGCTCTGTTTATAGTAAAATCGACCTTGCTAACCGAAATGTTGTTAATACCGTTTATTATAAACAGAGCATTTACTTAAATATTTGTATCTATAAATATATATTATCGGATTTTGTCCATTTCATAATGTATATATATATATATATATATATATATATATATATATATATATGGGAGACGCTATAGATGTCTCAAGGAGAGAAAAAAGAAGCGAGGAACTTTTTCTAGTTATAATGTGGATTCTTAAAAATATATATATTATACTTTATTTTCCATACTTTTGCTACACGTGTTTCCTGTCTCGCGAATTTCAACAGACAAAGAGTAGATATTTTTACGTATTATCAAAAGGAATTAATTTTTCTTTTGTTTTTCGATATTTTACCATTCTCTTTTTATAAGAAATTATACTCGTTCGGAAGATCTTCAGTGTTTTGATTTGTAAATAATCAAACCAATACCAAAAGTCTAAAAAAAGAAAGAACCAAGAACATGTACGTTAGTCGAAAATAATCGTCTAGCATGCAAGTCCAAAGCCCAAAGAAAGAAAACCCGATACGGGTAGGCAAAATAACTAAATAAAGTGCTCAATACAGTAAGTAGAGCAAACCTTGTAGGTTTGTCTAGCTCTCTAGGTTTAACTATATATATATATATATATATCTTTATATCTTGTTTTTTAAAATGATGGAGCATATTCTTTTTCTTTCAAAGAAACATTTTGGTCCAATACTTTTCAGAAAGATTCGTTGAAAAAAAATAAAAAAAACAAACGTACAAAACATAAATAAAAATAATCCTGGAATAATTATTTCCGTTTATGATTTTTTTTTTTTTTGTATGTTAGTTTTTTTGCCAACGAATCTTTGAAGAAGTATTGGGCGAAAACTGTCCCTTTTAAAGAAAAAGAATGTGCTACCTCATTTTAAAAACAATATATAACTTCTGTAGTATAAAATGTTTGTTCAAATATATATATATATATATATATATATATATATATATATATATATATATATATGATAAAGCGAGAATTAATTGCAGCAAATCTATGGCTCGTTCACGTTCTTCTTTCAGCCGGCCAGGTCTCATATGCCAGAAATCCTAGCATTCGCACCCTGACGAGTTACTGCAATTAATTTTAGCTCAATCCTTGATGACTTTAAATTTCTTAAAGGACTGAAAATTGACCTTAGTTTTAAATTTTTCTTTTTCTTTTCTACGTGTTTGACTTTAAGTTTAAAAATTTCACATTTTATATGCTTATTCGTGTATACAAAATAATATATATATATATATATATATATATATATATATATATATATATATATATATATATATATATATGTATATAATGATAAAATATACTTTACGATTGCGTTTAGTATGTAACAGTCTCTGGTGCTGACTCCAATGTCCATTCTTATATTTACATAGGCTCTGTCCCTCATACTGAGAACTTTAACCCATAAATATAGCATACACTAAAACACAACATGATTTTATCATATACTAGCAGTATAGCCCGGCGTTGCCCGGGGATGTAACAGTAAGAGATAGATCAATTATTCACCATCATAAAGACTGAAAAATAAAATTGACAAAGATTATGGTTTAAGGTTGACGGACACGCATGTCTTAATTAGTTTTTTTATTTTTTACGAATTGGTCAAACCCAAACTCAAACAAAAACATTGTTTTCAATTGTTATGAGTCTCTACCAATTGAATAGAATTTCTTTATAAATAATTGTCTCGTAAATGGAATTTTTAAATCATTCTGAATGTAAAAATAAAGAAAAAAGTGTGCAAGACAATAAGAAACACTACATGCCAAAAAAAAGTGAAGTTTTGTTGAAATCGGTTGAAAAATGTAGGTAGCCTTTCTGTAATCTTTTACAATTTATGATTTTTACTTATTGAATACAGTAAAAAAATGCATATTTTGCTTGTGGTGATTCATAATTAGAATTCTGATTTGAATATATTTTCCACTCGTTGTTTCGAATAAAAAAAATATTAACTTTATTTGGGTTTCTTAATTATGATCTAACAAATCTTATCCATTTAGTAGCCTTCTCTGTAATATATAATAATCTTTTACAATTTATGATTTTTACTTATTGAATACAGTAAAAAAATTGGACACCATGTGTATTTAAAGTAGTTTCC